AGAGGTGGAATTGTTAAGATTTTAATTGTTCTATGTTGAGAGGTGGAATTGTTAAGATTTTAATTGTTCTATGCTGAGAGGTGGAATTGTTAAGATTTTAATTGTTCTATGTTGAGATGCGAAATTGTTAAGATTTTAACTCTTTGAACTCTGTAGGCTCCAATACTGCACTAGTTATAATATTAGATATTTTAATGAATCAAAGAAACTACCCTACAATTATTAATTAAGTATAATATTAAATATCAAAATTTATAGTTTCACTGTACGAAATCAAATGCTAAAGTAAGAGTCGCCTCTCGAGTGCAAAGGGTTAAATAGTAAAATTGCGACACTACAAATAAACATAGAAGAAAATTGTTAAAACAGGTAGACGTCGCCATAAAATAGAACCGCCAAGGGTTAACGCGAGCGACGCAGCCACGCGTCCCGTTGCCCCGTCGATTCCGTCGTCGGCCGGCGGTTTCCGGCCGTGACGTTAATTCCGAGCGTGTGTGGCGGCGAGAAAGAAGGGACAGCCGGGAGGCCGAGGGCAGGGGGAGGACAATGATCCTCGGAAACGCGGAGAGAAACATCTGCCCGGCTCCGGCCGGATCACCGGCGCGTCTTCCCCTTCAACCAGAGAGAACCGATCGCGTCGTGAAACTTGTCCCACCTTCGCCGTGCATAGGTATTCATTATCTTCGTCTTCGGCGTGCACACACACGTATACACACACATGCGTCCCGCGCTCCCCTGGCCGACTCTCGCGGATCTTTTTTGGTCCACGAAACATCTGCGGCAGCTGCGAAGCGGTGGCCTGCCGCAGGACTCGAGGAACGAGGCAGGTGCTCCGAAGAAGCTTCTCTCGGTTCTCCCTTCCTCCTCCTCCTCCTCCTCCTCCGACGACGACGGTGCTGTTGCTCTGTTCCCTTCTGCCCTCCGTGTACCGGCTGCCAATTACGCGTGCCTTTTTCTGCCCTTTCTCTCGCTCGCCGCGCGTTTCGCCGCTTTTCAATGCCCCTTTCCCTGTCCACGCGCTGTTTCCTAATCTTTTCGCCCCGTCTTTTCGATGCCCGGCCACGCAGGGGTAGTCGACTGGTCGAAGCGCCATTTTGATATGTTCCTTCTGGAGGATGGCGTTCGGTCGAAGGATATATGAATTGTATCTTCGATGCAGGTTTAACCCTTTGCGAACGAAGACTCTTTGAAGTACGAAGCTTGCTATGTGAAGGTGAATTATATATTGAATGCTTGAAAAATAGAGAGGAAGCTGTACACTGATCTCTTGCTATTGAAGTAATTAAGCCATTCGTTTGCGACTTAGTATTCTAAGGATGAGCATTTAATATTGCTGAAATGTCGATATTCGTCCACAAAGGGTTAACTGTTCACGGACGAGCTGGAGAACGTTTGACACTGGATTTATGAGAGTTTAGTTTAGTCTAGAGTTTATTAACCGAAAATTTGTAATATGGTTTAACGAACATGAATATCATTGAGTTGTGTTAAGTTTAAGTGGAGCGTTATTGTTCCTGGTGACAATCTGTATGGTTTATACTCAATCTAGACATAGAAGAAGCAGGGAATGTTTTCCTTTAGTACATTATTAACGGTAAATAATTCTAATGAATGCATATATGAAATTAAATCGTAAGGCAAGGGGTTAAGGAATAAGTATTGATAGAGGCGATAGAAATACTCGTGGCAGTGGACGCGTTAATTATCGAAAACGCATTGATCTCTCATTGTTTGAGCGATAGAATTATTCCTTTGATTTTTAGAAGAGATTCTAATTATTGATTCAAGAATAATCAGGAATCACTGAAGTACCATTAAATGGTACAGTTCCTACTACAAATGAATATAGGAAAAACTATGAAAATAAGTAGACACCAAATCGAATGTTGAGTCTGACTTATTTGGTAGTTCTAGTGTTAATATGAAGTACCATTAAATGGTACAATTCCTACACTACAAATGAATATAGGAAAAACTATGAAAATAAGTAGACGCAAAATCGAATGTTGAGTCTGACTTATTTGGTAGTTCTAGTGTTAATACGAAGTACCATTAAATGGTACAATTCCTACACTACAAATGAATATAGGAAAAACTATGAAAATAAGTAGACGCAAAATCGAATGTTGAGTCTGACTTATTTGGTAGTTCTAGTGTTAATACGAAGTACCATTAAATGGTACAGTTGCGACACTACAAATGAATATAGGAAAAACTATGAAAATAAGTAGACGTTGCAAATAAAATGAAATGTTGAGTCCGACTCGATGTAAGACTGCCAAGGGTTAAGATCGTGTTTCGTGTGTTTTAGAACCGGACACTGCGAGCCTGGACGCACCTGGAGGTCGGCATTGCGAGAGACGGAGGCGGCTGAGGAGCCGGTCGTGCCCCACGGGCCCCCTTTTTCTCCATTTTTCTCTCGCGATATTCGACGCACGAGCGGCACGTGCACAGGCCTGAGTTGCAGCGGCGGGCCGAGTCTCCGCCGGATGAGGTCTCGTTCCGCAAGATCATCGGGCCCGGACCTCGATGCGCCAATTACGGACCGCCCGAAGACTTACGGATTAATTGTAATTCCAACGTACAACGTACCGAACGCAATATTGTAACCACCGTTTTTGTCGCCGCTACACACCGCAATTTCAATTGAATTTTTAAGATCGCTTCGTGGAAATTATAAACGTGCGTTCTTTGGACCTCGATCGACTTGTATTCTAGTGTAGGTATTTACTTGTTCAGATTACTTGAAAAATATTAGAAGGAAATGTGTGAAAATATTGATGTATTAATATGATTAATTTAAGAGCTATGATATTAGATCGTTGAAACTCGTCTAAAATGGGAGAAATCTGGTAGTTCTAATGTTAAAGACTTGAAGCGTAGAAACTTGAAATGTAGAACTGAAGTGTAGAAACTTGAAATGTAGAACTGAGGTGTGAAGACTGAAGAACTGTACATTGTTCTAGAAATGGAGGACATTGTTGTGTTTTGAGAGTATCAGTTTCCGTGAAACAGTTCACGAATAGTTGTGTCTACGTCAAACATCCGTCTAGAGATAAGAATATTCTCAAGCTAGCACAATCTAGCGTAGTCGATTGTACTCTAGGAGCACAGTAATATTCTTTATGGCCTCTATACACGTTGAAACTCGCGGCGATGCAGGCTACAAGCGATGGGTTTGAGTCTTCCAAAGTTTCATGGTACATATTGCACTCAAATAAAAAGTGGAAAGGCTGAAACACGTCGCTATAAGTGATGATTAAACTTTGCAATGTTGATGAAACTTTGCAATGTTAATGAAACTTTGTAATGTTGATGAAACTTTGTAACATAAATTTCACAATTTGTAAAGCGTGCATCATGAAACATTGAAAAACTCAAACTCATCACTTACAGCGATGATGAAACTTTGTAACGTAAATTTCACAATTAGCAAAACCTGCATCAAAACCATGTAAAACCCAATCCATCACTCACAGCTATGAGTCTGAGCCTCTTCCACTCTTTGAGTGCAACGTGCATCATGAAACCTTGGGAGACTCGAACCCATCGCTATAAGTGATGAAACTTTGCAATATCGATAAATCTTTATAACATAAATTCCACAATTATCAAAACCTGCATCAAAACCTTGTAAACCCAACCCATCACTTCTAGCGATGGGTTCGAGTCTCCCAAAGCTTCATGACAAAAAGTGGAAAATTCTCAAACTCATCACTGACAGCGATTCCTGTACCGCCGCATGGTGAAAAGGGCCCTTTAGGATTTATCAGTGGCGCGTTGTTTGCGCTGCGCGATACGCGATATTCGCTGTAACTCCCGAGGTGCGTCCGGAACACCTTCGTAAACGTTGTTCCAACTGGCCCGGCATGCGCGTCGTTAAATATATTTGTCTTCTACGCGCGGGAGTAGCTGTCCCCGTCTCGAGTCCCAGAAAAAACAGCGCGCGGCCTGCTCGGCTCTCCCGTATCTGGCAGCTGCTCTCTCGAGCGCCGCGTATCTCGTTTTTCCTCGGGCATCGGGCACGTCTTCCGTGCTCCCGGGACAAAATCAAGGAATCCCCGGCGTTTTTCCGTCATCTCTCACCGGGGACCTTGTCTCGAATTTCCTGCGCGCTGCAACTCGCGTGTAATCGTGATCCGCGTCAACCTCTCGCTTTCTAACGTGTCGGGCCCGTGGTGAAGATTTTCGAGTAGATTTAACGTTAGAATTATTGGGCAATAGGAGAGCTGTTTCTAATTTCTTATGAAAATTAGGGAAGATTTCTTGAGGTTCGAGCTTTCTATTGTTGCATTTGTGTATGGACTTTATTTTGAAATTTAGGAAAGGAGCTTTGTTATCTTAATAGTGGCGAGATAAGAATGTTGTGAATTTTGTTTAGGTTTAGGGTTGATGGATATGAATGTTTATTCATTTCAAGTTGAAGTGAATGTTCTTCTGCAATCAATTATTGTTATACTTAATATATGCTATATATATTATATATAATATAGAAAGTATAATAATATAATATATTGTATGTGATATAGTATAATAGTAGAATATATTATATGTAATATAGTATAATAATGTAATATACTATATATAATATAGTAGAATAATATAATATATTATATATAGTATAGTAGAATAATATAATATATTATATATAATATAGTAGAAATATTATTATAATATTATTATTATTATTATCATTGTATTATTATACTATATCACATACAATATATTATATTATTATCCTTAAGAGCAAACACAGACATAGAATACAACTAGAATATTTCTCCCAATAAATCAGCAATAGAAAGTAGCATAGTATTAAAATTGACAGATTCATCATAGAGCAAATTGTTCAAACTAAGCTTTCCTCGTGGTCTCTAACAATCTTCACATCTTCCACCGGATTTGAATGAAAGCAAATTTTCTATTCACTCTATTTTCTGTCTCCTTCCAGGTACGGAGGGTCGGCGAGCAATAGGATGTTTCGTGTCAGGTGAACTTACCCGTACAGCATGGCAGCGCCTGCAATCCCGCCTCCGCATTGTGCCGCGATGTACAGAGCAGCGCGCAGCAGGGAAATCCGTCGACAGAGAGCGAAAGACACCGAGACAGCTGGATTCACGTGGCCACCTGCGCGTCGAACCATTTGATTGTTATTATCTGCTCGCTGGCATCGAGGCGACGATTCGCGATCGTCGATCGTACCGTTCACGAATATTTTAACACCGAAACGCACCGAACAAGTTCAAGTGATTCGTCATAATCCGAATAATTGCAACGAACACTTCGAAACGGGTCACTCGTACTCGTCCGGTTGTTTCAGTATTAACCCTTTGCACTCGAGAGGTGACTCTCAGTCAACTATAAAATTTGATATTTAACATTGAACTGTGTACAATGCATCGGTGTGTGAAATATTGGGATAAAAAAGCTTTGTTCGATTCACTTGTGATTTCTCTTCGAGTTCCTTTAAAGCAACATCGCCTTTGTCTAGTTAGGAAATTTTAAATATATCCAGCGAAATACTTTCGAGTGCAAAGGGTTGAATCTAAGAAAATGTCATCTGTATCTCATTAGAATTGAATATCTCCGGTGAGAAACGTCTGGAGTGCAAAGGGTTGACGCGTCGAATGCCGAACGACTTATATAAAAATATAGAAAATGAAAGTAACGTAGTATCAACTTATGTAACTGAATTACGTTATTTAATTAATTATTTTTCCTCCGTGGAAACGTCACGGAGGTCACCGCTGGCGCGTCGTCGCGGTCGCAGTCGGCCCTGACGATAGTTCATCTCGATTGACTCGTTAACCGACTCTAGCGGCCGATGGAAATACGGAACACTACCGGCCAAAAGTTTGGAATCGTTACTGTTCGTTGAATCCTGTCGCGCGACGAAATCGATTGAACTGTCCTTAATTCGGCGCATTCGTACGAATATCTTGAAACGATTCCGAACGTCCAGCTGATATATTACAACGTCAGCCGCGAGTACGTTCCGCGCAATGACAACTTGAAATTCCTTAGCTATTCGACGCGAGTTTTCAATTTGCACTCCGGTTTTTCACTACTCAGTGCTTTCTAATGAGACGCAGATGAGGTTTCCTGGAATTGAATTGTCGAGGAATCGCACTACATTCAGGAAGATCTTTCAATGTTTCACGTACTGATGCGTCGCGCAGTTTAACCCTTTGCACTCCAGTTTTTCACTACTTAATATGTACTTTCTAATGAGACGCAGATGAGATTTCCTGAAATTGTATGAATAATGTAATTTATTTACATAAGTTGATATTACGTTATATTCATTTATGTAATTAAATTACATTATCATCGCAGGTTCACCTTGTCGAATTATTAAGTGGTACTGCTTATAATATAGAGAAGTTTTCAAACAGTCATCGTTTAATCGAATGAATCATAGTAAATCGATTCGGTTGAGGTCACCGGTGACCCCCATGGCATCCAATGTGTTAACCGACACTTTGATCCCGTAATCGGCATCATTCTCGTTACGCTTCTAGGCTGCTGAATCGAAAGCTTCCACTTTGAACTGTGATATTCGATTCAACGTCACAATATTGTTTATTTCTTTTGTCAAGCATCTATGTACTATTTGTTAACGTGTAACCTAGTTTAACTAAGTTACACGTTCTTGTAACGCGAGGCACGACCGAGCAGGACGGTCCTGGGTCAAATTTAATTGCACGCGAGGGTTAAAGCGCATCCGGTTCGCATTCTACGCGCCGTATCAGCCGGAGCTTTCGATTGGCGAAGGAAACCGCTCGGCAATTGTTCTACTGTACAGAACGGAACGTGTTGAAGCGTTAACGCGTTGACTGTCACGGTGGTCACCGGTGACCGGAGCTGTCGAACAAGATACAGTAATCCGACTGATCCTAACGAAAACATTCGAACAGTAACCTAAGAACTATAGTACCAAATAATTGATAATTCTCCTTGTGTCTTCGCTAACAAGTGATACATACACCACTGCAGTTTCATGGCAATCAATGCGACACGTTGACTGTTATGAGAAGTTCGAGTGTTTTGTTACAGTAAGATTAATTCCTTTATAATAGAGGAAAATAGTATTAGAAATAGTTATTAACGTTCTGATACTACAGAGCACATATTACACTATTAACTATCTTCTTACTAAATGTTTTGATTCAGTATCAATTTTTGTATGGCAATTGATCTCAAGCATCTTTGGAAGCTCCGATCAACGCGTTAACACGTTGACTGCCAAATAGTATTAGAAATAATTATTAATGGTTTAGTACCACAGTAGTAATATTACACTATGATCTAGCTACTTGTGTTACTAGATATTCTGATTTAAAATCAAGTTTTTTATTGAAGAGAATTTCTAGCGTTTTGAATAGTAATGCTTACTCTTTAATAACAAAGGCGAATGATGTTGAGGAGAATCATCAATGATTTAGTATTATAGTAGTCGTATTACGCTATCATCTAGATACTTGTGTTACTATATGCTTTGATTCAATATCAATTTTCTCATAGCAATTATTCTCAAACATTTTAGAAGCTCCGGTCACCGATGACCACCATGACCATCAACGTTAACACTAGGTTTACAGACGTTATTGTACTTTATTCTGCTGTTCCTAGCAAAATGAATATTCACTCATTTAGATCTTAGAAAGTAGAGGTTTTAAAATAGACATTTGCGATACATATTCTTATAATTGCATCAATAAAAATCGTAAACATTTAACTAATCTTTATCAAATTCTATATGTCGAAGTGGCGCGCGTAAAGCTAGTGTTAATTCTCATCGAGTCTCATAATCCCTCATCCAAGAAACATCAATGAGACTCATCTCAAAGAGCTACCTATCACAGAGACTCACCGCTGATATGTCCAAAAATCAGAGAGATCGCAGCGATGGCGAACCCGGAGGCGACAGCGGTGGCGAGCACGGATAGTCCGCTGCCGGAGACGGCGGAGGACGCGGCCGCGCCGGAAACCACCAGGCTGAAGAGGAAAGTGGCGAAGCACTCGACGGCGACCGCTCTCCAGAGCTCGAGGCTGCGCGCCTCGATGGACATCGGCGCCTTCCTCTCCGTCAAATCTCCGTTCGCCTCCCTCAGCGAGGAGATCCTCGTCAGCAGCGTAACGATATGCGCGTCCAGTTCGCGCGACAGCGTTTCCGTCGTCATCGTCGGTCCGTCGCGCTTGTCAAAAATTCGAACGGCGTCTCTGGCTCCGTGGAAATCGTACGCGACGTGTTCTGATCGGCGATCGGCGTTTATTGCATTCCAGGGAACGGTCTAACGCGAAGCGTCGTGTCACTGTCGCGGCGCGCACTGCGGCTGAACTCGCGGAGAGGCACGCGTGGCGCGAGAAACCGGGCGGATTCGGGGAACGAGGAGTCTGCGAGCGGGCACGGCGGATGTTGCCCGAATGGCAACGCACTCTCGAGTGACAAGCCGACCTTCCGACGGAACAAGTGGGGCCCCGGCGAGCTGCTCCGCCGCCGCACCACTCCCACCCCTCGACCACCGGCGACCGGTGCATCTGTGCCCGCCTGGAACGACCACGTGTCGGGGATGCGTCTCGACGACGAAGACGAGGGTTCTTTATTGTCCGAGGGAAATTGACAGGTATCGAGAGTTAACACGTTGCACTCGGATGTTTCTTACTAGAAATATTCAACAGCTTCCAATCAGTTACAGATTACAAGCCTTTAAGACGAATTCAACGAGGGAATGTATCGAGAGAGTTAACACGTTGCACTCCGAAGTTTTTCACTGGAAATATTCAACAGCTTCCAATCAGTTACAGATTACAAGCCTTTAAGACGAATTCAACGAGGGAATGTATCGAGAGAGTTAACACGTTGCACTCGGATGTTTCTTACTAGAAATATTCAACAGCTTCCAATCAGTTACAGATTACAAGCCTTTAAGACGAATTCAACGAGGGAATGTGGATAAGTTAAGAAGCAAAGTTATTATTTCAATATTTCCAATATTCGTGGATTGTAACCAAATCGAATTGCTATAGCTCATTCAATTAAACGTTCAATTTGTATACTACAATGCTACCTAATGCGACATCGAGCAAGATGAGCGCGCCATAATAATGATTCAATGATTTGAATTTTTAATTATTAGAAATTATATTATTAATATTTGAATTTTTTTCTCCTTTGACGAATGTCGGCATTCCGAAATTTTCATATTCCAAAGACCAAGTCGCAAAAGGATGATTCAATTACTCAAATAGCAGATCAGCGCGTAGTTTCCTTTTTTATCAATTATGCAACTTATATGTAATTTAGCACTTCTTTGTATATTTGAAAGATCTAATAATCTTAAGGTAGTTTTCTTAAAATTCATTGAAAAATTTCATATTAGAACTGGTGCAATATTGGAGCTTACAGAGTTCAAAGGGTTAACCCTTAGCACTCGAGGGCTCCGTTGCAGAGCCACTTAAAATTTGTCATTACAAACTGTCGACATATAATTTAACTTCATCTGCTGAAGCTTTTGGACATTTCGACACTTTAGCCGGAGAATTTGTTTGTAAGAAGAAGCCTTCAACTTTAACCCTTAACACCTTAAGCGCCACGAGAATTCTGAATGTTTTATATTGATTTGTTCCTTTGTAGCAAAGGTAAATAGGAATTATTAAGTACCCTAGTTGAAAATTATTTAACTGCTGCAACAGCAGAAAATCGGTACATAGTTTCCTAATTCTCCATTATTTAACAGATTCTCCACAGAATCCTCGTCCGCAAAGAGTTAATTATTCCTCATCGGAATTCTTACGTTACTGTTGCTAACTAACTTCTGTTACTCGACAGTTCTAGTCGGCAGCAGTCATCTTGCATGTCGGAATGTTTGTCAAGCAAGTCGAGCGTCGGTTATTGACCGACACTGCGCTCCTATGTCGAGCGTGACTCAGTTTTATTTACAGGTACGATTCTTTATCAACGCATCATTTCAATGATGAGAAGGTAAAATCAACGAACTCAGGAGAATGGCTTAAATTTATAAAAATCTGGGTAAATAATTGCTTTCAATATTATTAGTAAGTAAAATGCATCAAATCAAATGTGATAACAGAGTCATCGAGGAAGAGATGCAAAGAAATTCAAGTTGCAAAGGGTGTCGTGTAATAATGTACTTGATGTAATAATTTGAGATCAGTTAGGAGCGCTAATAGCATGCGATGGATTAATAAAATTCGATACTTTGTATCAGGTGTCCGTCCGACGCACTGGATGGCTGGCCCGGCCGACGACAACAACGATCCCGTCGAAGGTCTTATTCCCACGAGTTCAAAGACTATTTTAATGTCGAAGTTCCCATAAAAAGGGGATGCACGCACCACAGGACACGAACAACGAGCATAATAGCGTTCATTTAAATCAACTTTCCGCGAACGCCGGACAAGGACGGCGGCGGGGACAGGATTCAGCGATCGGGCACAGGAAATTTGCATTTCTCGGCGAGCCGCGGACGCCGCGCGAAACTAACTAACTCCGTCCGAAATCTTTCGGATGAACGGAGAATAATGAAGTCAGTTTTCGTCGATGTGAGTCGTGGTAATTGATTTCTCAATTGTAATTCTCGTACGCTGGTACCTGTAGCTTTTTGGATTTTTCTACGTTTCTCGGTTTTTTAGAGAACCGTGGAAAGTGCAGTCTTTGTTTAAAATTTATTTGGAAAGGAACAGTTCTTGTTTAGGAAATAGTCATTATATTTTGGAGAAGCGTAAACTTACGTTTAGTGTTTCTCAGTTTTCCAGAGAACCGTGGAAACAGCAGTCTTTATTTAAAATTTATCTGGAAGAAACAGTTGTTATTTAGAACATAGTCATTATATTTTGGAAAAGGGTAAACTTACATTTAGTGTTTCTCTTAGGAATGATAGAAGTTTGATACGTGTAAAGGTTTTGATACTTTTATAGCTATGTATAATCTATTTATAGGTATAAATCACGTAGGTGGTAGGTATTAACACGTCTAAGTGTTAAGTATAATAGTTGATTACAGAGGAATAATATTTACTTTGAATTCGAGTTAACTAAGTAATATATATATATATATATATTTGTTGAATCATGTTGAAAATTTTCAGCACGAGTCTAACTCGTTGTTGTAGCACAGGGGGTTAATAATATTTGTTACTGTGAACAGCGGGGGAGTTGACTTATATTTCAATACATACATAAGTTTTAGCGTGAAACGCGTAGACCTTAGAACTGCAGACCCCGGCGTGTCAAGCGTGACGATTCCAAGGGGATATCGCGTAATTAAACTCGGCCGGTTCTTTACTGGGACTGTACACGGCCGTGTAAGTAAAGTCGACCGGGGAACGGCTAATAAATCCAGCAATTGCTGTAAATTGGAGAACTCGCGCGGGGGAAAGACCGGCGACGGCTGAAAAAAAAGAACCTTTTCTCTTTGTCCCGCTGCAGGCCGATGGAATTCTTGGGAACGCGCTGACCCGCCGGAACGACTGGCCTATCATCCGTTTCCAACCGCGTTATTGTTTGAATGCGAAAATCGCTTCCATTAATTGATATTCATTAACCCTTTGCGGACGAAGATTATCTGAAACATACAAAACCCTCGACAGGTGAAGCTAAATTATATATCAATTACTTGAACAATAGAAAAACAAGAAACTACGTACTGAACTCTTGATGTTTCGGTAACTGGATCATTTATTTGCTATTTAGTGCTCCAAATATGAAAATTTGATCTCGCCGAAATGTCGACATTCGTCCAGAAGGGTTGAAGTACACGAAATTTGCAGCATAGAAAGTTGAATGAGACATCGAGTGCTTGAACAATAGAGAAAAAGGGAACTATACACTGATCTCTTACAGTTTGAGTAATTAAATCGTTAGTCTACAAGTTAGTATTCCAAATATGAAAATTTGATCTCGCTGAAGTGTCGACATCCGTCCGCAAGGGTTGAAGTACACGAAATTTGCAGCATAGAAAGTTGAACGATACATCGAGTGCTTAAACAATAGAAAAATAGAAAATTACACACTGATCTCTTACTGTTCGAGTAATTAAATCGTTAGTCTACAAGTTAGTATTCCGAATATGAAAATTCGATCTCCTCGAAAATGTTGACATCCGTCTATAAAGGGTTAATAGTTCAACGGCTGGCATCCATTCACTCTTCCCGTGTAATCTCGGTTTGCCCTCGTTCGAGCTCGTCTTCCTGTGCACACGATCACCGGGAGTCACAAAACAATTACCCTCGCAAAGGAAATGGAAATGCGAGGAGAGATTCAGGAAGAGATGTATCTAGAACGCATTGATGCTGCGATTATGGTGAACGCAATGAATGTATTAACACGTTGACTGCCACCGGAATTTCTAGCGTTTCGAATAGTAATGCTTACTCTCTAATAACAAAGGCGGACGATGTTGAGAAGAATTATCAATGATTTAGAATTATAGTAGTCATGTTACGCTGTGATCTAGATACTTGTGTTACTAGATATTCTGATTTAGAATCAAGTTTTTCGTTGTAATTGTTCTTCGGCAATTTGGAAGCTCCAGTGACCACCGTGGTCAACGTGTTAATGGAACTAATTAATGGCATGAACAATGTTCTTTTTACTTATTCAAGGATTAACTCATTTCCTCGTTTTTTATAGGTCAGAAGCCTGCCTTTTTATAGCTGAATACGTCGTGTAATCGTTTCAGAAGCTGTAGCATGAATTTTTTCAATCTCTGTTTCCTGGACTTCCATTGGCTACTGAGCGACTCAGTTGAACTCTTCAAAGGAACCTGGAGAATACTGGCTTCCGTCTATCGATGGTTCAACCACAATCAATCTGTAAGTTAATAATTGAATTATCAATTCCTGTCTTATCCTATTGATTGGTTTCTCAATTTCTGTTTCCACTAAGAAATTATTAATTATTAAATTAAAAAAATTATTAATGACAAAGTAGCCATATCGATCAGAGTTAAGAAAGAAATCATCCAAAGAGTTAATGAAACAGCGAGCAAAGAGTGTCTCCACACATATGCACCGATACGAATCAATCCTCGATGAGCGTCACTGATCTAATCTATACCAGGTAGAATCATTTCGCGATAAGCGCCCTCAACGAGCTAGTAATCGCAGTTACATCCAAGTTGGAATGTAAGTGACCATAACGATTCTATTTCCTATCGACCTGGATTTCCCTGGAAATAACATTCTTCTATTTTAGATTAACAAGACAGTTGTCATCTGGAATTCGAGTCGACGAAATAACATTCTTCTATTTTAGATTAACAAGACAGTTGTCATCTGGAATCCGTCTCGACAAAATAACATTCTTCTTTTATTTTAGATTAACAAGACAGTTAACAAGTGTAAGTGACCATAACGATTCTATTTCATCGGCCTGGATTTCCCTGGAAATAACATTCTTCTATTTTAGATTACCAAGACAGTTGTCATCTGGAATTCGAGTCGACGAAATAACATTCTTCTTTTATTTTAGATTAACAAGACAGTTAACAAGTGTAAGTGACCATAACGATTCTATTTCATCGGCCTGGATTTCCCTGGAAATAACATTCTTCTATTTTAGATTAACCAGACAGTTGTCATCTGGAATTCGAGTGGACGAACGTGGAAGCCTAAACGAGCGGTATCTGTCTACGCCGGATCGGTACGTCGGCTCGTCCGTTCACGCGACGGCATACCTTAACGATCATAGGGTCCCGTGGATCACGCTCCTCGATCGTACCAGCGTGTATTCGTTAGCCCGTGGGCGGCCTATCGCGGCGTGTGTTTGCACGCGAGTGTAACATTACTGTTCAGTGGCCGCAGGGTACCGCAGGGCACCGCACCGTGCAACGTTTACCTCGGGAACAATACTTGGGAAATGTTCCTCGCGACTCGTTCTGCCCGGTGAACTTTTCCTTCCGTGTCTTAACCCTTTGACGACGAACGTCGACGTCTCGAGATCGTATTTCAGAGTAAGTCGGAACAAATGATTCAATTAGTCAAGCAAGAGATCTGTGTATAGTTTCTTTTCTTTTTGTTATTTAAGTAGTCGATATAGGGTTTAACCCTTTGAACTCTAGACTCCAATATTGCACCAGTAAGTCGTGAACAAATGATTCAATTAGTCAAGCAGAAGATCTGTGTATAGTTTCTTTTCTTTTTGTTATTTAAGTAGTCGATATGGAATTTAACCCTTTGAACTCTAGGCTCCAATATTTCAAAGAGTAAGTCGTGAACAAATGATTCAATTAGTCAAGCAAGAGATCTGTGTATAGTTTCTTTTCTTTTTATTATTTAATACTATAAAAATTAGTTGCAGTTGCTAGATTACAAGACAACCTGGAGTGCTAAGGGTTAACTTCAGCTGAAGGTTTGAGATATTTCAAGGAATCTTCGTCTGCGAAGGGTTAAAATGCGTTGAGTCGCAACGCTCTGGATCTGCTTGAAATCAGCACGAACATTGATAAGACCGATCGTTGGTGAGTTGCAATGGATGTTTACATTGACGATATGTTTACATTTATACTGATAATATATTGACAATAATTGGTTGATCCGTTATTTATACTGATAATAGATTGACAATAGTTGGTTGATCCGTGGGCAATGAACAACATTGATTGAAATGAAATCCTCGGTACTTCTAGTGTTAAACGTGAATGAAATTCTCGGATCAGTTCTTAGTTCTCATTAGTCTGAGAACGGTTTCTTGTTATTTATCTACCGGAAGTCACATGAATTTCACAGTAGAACTACCGAGCATCTGAACCGTCTTTCTAAAATGTCTTTATAAACGCTGAGAGTTTTATTAAGATTTGTTAAGATTTTAGAATTCATTAAGATTTCAGTCGGTTTATATTTTATTTTAGGTATTGCTAACTAAATTACTCGATAAATTATTCGATTTTCCACACATCCAAATTTTCTGCTAACAAGGAAAATAGATCGAAGAAATATTATAACATTTCTAATTTTCGCCAGGAATACCATAAAAATCCATTACAGTTGCTAATATATTACAAAACAACCTAGAGTGCTAAAAATTAAAACTGCGTTCGCTAGGAAATTTGCTTGATAAATTATTATTCCTTCGATAACAATGTCTCCGTGACTCGTTCATCGAGCGAGAGAAACGCGTGTTCGTAACGTGACGGGCTGTAGGGTGTTGGCCCACTCGCGTGCCGTTCGTGACTATCGTCGATTTCGTAATACGTGCAACGATCGCCGTTTACCGTTCTCTCCTCGGCCAAGCTTCGCACGAGTTACTGAAACGGTTTTTTACGTTTCTGCATTCTGTCACGCCGCGGTTGTCCTATTTTATATTATGAAGTGTGGACGCGACGAATTCAACACAGGAACACGTGATTTACATTCCTTTAATTATTAACCAACGGTACGTATTTAACATGGTCATTTACATAATTCAATTTCACGCCGCGGAAACTCTGGCTAACCTTTAGCGTAGAACGGCGAGTAGTTCCTCAATGAACGTACTCGTACGTACGTTTACGTGCAAGATTTTACTTTCGTAGTGCCTTTCCCTTTTCCCTGACTCGTCGTCGGTTTCCTGTTAAGACCGAGTTCCCTGGTTTTACCGTCCGTGTGTGCGCGCGCGTCCCGTGTCCGTGAAGTGTCACGCGTCGTTTTCTCGTGGCTCGCACACGCGCGAACACACAGAGGTATCCCACCTGTCTAACGCTTTCTCTGTCTTTCTTTCTGGTTTCAGTGAAACGCCAGTCCGTAGCACGGCATAGCACGCGGTAAGATGGCCGTGTACAGGCTGTGCTGGTCGCTCGCTCGCGTCTGGTTTTCCCTGTGCTTTCTCGCGTGTACGGCATTGTGTCAGGAACAAATATCGGCCGGCAGTCGGTATTATGGCCGAGACGGTGTGTATGTGCCAGCGAACGGGCCCGATCACAGGCCCGACACTTATTTTTACAAGGATAGAAGGTACGGGTACCGTCCCAGTTACCTGGACCCTGATTACAAAAGGCCGCCCAAAGGATCGGACGATCGTTACCATTACGAGGTGAGTCGCGGAACGTGAAAGGGAATCGAATGAATGCGATCCTCGACTCGTTTTCTCGTAAACATTGCGTCGTTTCTCTTAAAAATCGATGACACACAATGTGCGTTTGTGGCTGAGCGAAAATAGGTCACTCCCATGGCAAGTTGGCTTCATGATGAATACATTGGGTTTTTCAAGAGGATTTATTGTTTTGTAGGATACCACTTCGAGATTGCCGTTGCCTGGTATATTAGGTGGTTGGCGGGAGGATCTTCAGGGAAAAGAACGACAGGGTTCTAAGCATTTGGAGAGGGATGTTACCGTTTCTACTACCTATGGAGAAGTAGAGGGATTCAAAGTTTATTTGTACGACGATCCGGAGGCTAGACATAGACCTTGGAGTTTACCGGTCGAAAGGGTTACCAGGCATGTCAATGTATTTTTGGGTATTCCTTACGCTATGCCTCCTACGAGGGAAGGTCGGTTTAAGCCTCCTCGACCTCATAGGGGTTGGCAACTGTTGCAAGCTGTCGATTGGGGACCCGCGTGTCCTCAACCTAGTGCGTATACTGGTGCAACTAAAGGAATTAAGGATGTGGATGAAGATTGCTTGTATTTAAATATCTTCACACCTACGATTAATTCTGGTGAACGTCTACCATATGCTGTAATGTTTTATATTCATGGTGGAGAGTTCACTCATGGAGCTAGTAACTTGTTTCCTGGTCATATGTTAGCTGCATTTTACAATGTAGTGGTAGTGTCTATCAATTATCGGTTAGGGGCACTGGGATTTCTGAGCACAGGAGATGAGAATAGTCCTGGTAACTATGGACTTTTGGACCAAGCAATGGCATTACGATGGGTGTATGATAATATTCGAGCCTTCAGTGGTAATCCTGATGCGATAACACTGTTTGGGCCAGGTGCTGGTGCAGCTAGCGCTGGATTGTTGATGGTTGCTCCTAGGACTAGAGAAATGGTGTCAAAAGTAATAGCTCAGTCGGGTTCTGCATTAGCAGATTGGGCAGTTATAATAGACAAGTACAGGGCCCAGAATACTTCCAGAGTATACGCTGAAATGTTGGGTTGTAGTATAGAAAGCAGCTGGAAGTTGGTTCAGTGTTTGAAAGATGGACGAAATTTCCTTGAATTGAGTAATTCTCCATTAAAGCCGCATATTGGAATGTTTCCATGGGCACCTGTATTTGATGTCAATTTTACAGTACCTGGTGATAATTTATACGAAGATTGGAGAGCATCAGACTGGCATTTCTTTACAGAAACACCTGAAGAAAGTATTAAGCATCGTAGATTTAAACATGACTTAGCATACATGGCTGGTGTTACTACTCAAGAGGCAGCGTACATAATATGTGAGTAATTTAAGATTTACTTTGGCTTGTTTGTATATAATAGTGTTATTTTTCTCATTCTAGACAACAATGCCACATTGGCAAGGAATCAATACATGATAGATCCAGAATTATTTGACCAAAAAATCTGGGAACTTGTCCTTCAGTATAATTACACTCTGAACCAGCAAGGTGTTTATGAAGCTATAAAATATATGTACACTTATTGGCCGGATCCGAAAAATGTTACACACATTCGCGATCAATACATCAATGTAAGTTAAACATATCACAGATACATTTGCATATTTTAATAGCAATCATTAATCATGTTATATATTTGTTTAGTTGTTAACTGATTTTCATTATGTGGCTCCATTTGATAAAATTGCAAAGTTATTAGTAGAGAAACGTGTGCCTACTTACTTATATGTATTGAACACTACTGTGGAAGCACTATCATTGCCACAGTGGAGAAGAGTACCTCACGATACCGAACTTCTTTGGCTCACAGGAGCACCATTCATGGATGTTGGTGAGCACGCGGTATCTCAAAATATTTTTTAAAGGTTTCTATAATAAGAAAATACAACTTTATAGAATTCTTTCCTCAAAAATGGAAACTAAGCCGAGACATGTGGACTGATAATGATCGCAATATGAGCCATTTCTTTATGAAGGCATATTCAAATTTTGCAACATACGGGTATGTTTAATATACCACATACAAATGTAGTATTCCACCATAGTCTAGAGATCATCTTCATTTCAGAAATCCTACAACTTCGCAAATTCTGGGACTTCACATGGATGTTGCCAGACAAGGACAGTTACGATACTTAAATATTAATACCACCTTCAACAGTTCAATTCAATTAAATTACAGACAAACAGAAAGTGCCTTTTGGTCTGCATATTTGCCAACTGTCATTGGCCGCTTAGTACCTACATACCCTCCAGTCACCGAGGTAAAATCATCATTTAAACATGTTACCTGTCACAGATGAAGCATGCCCTTATCTGTATTTTTCCATACTTATTACAGTACTGGTGGGAACCAAAGCAACCCTTGCAAATTGCATTTTGGTCGGTCTCTACAGCTTGTTTACTGTTAATCGTACTCTCTGTTGTATGCTGCATGCTTTGGCGTAACGCCAAAAGGTAAGAAAAGGTAAACAGAACCAAATCCATATGACTACAGGCTTCAGGCTGGTAGGACTTGCCATAATTGTAGAGCATGCGGGATATGGTTCTGGTTTCTCATCTATTTATATCATATTTGGATAACGTAGGTCTCTAACACTTATACGATTCCATCTAACCTTATGTATGCTTACAATTCATGCAGCAAAACTAAGGCTGCCAGAATATACGCAGGTAACTACACTACGTAGTAAGCACTTTGCACATCTCACTGCACAGTTTCTAAGATCTCATCAGTAGTTTTGTTCATCGATGAAACTATAACTTATATTTTTCTATTACCTTCATGTTTATTTTAGCATTTAGTCTTTTATTCTATCGGATGCACACAATTTTATCATTGCCTTTATGCTGACACTTTCAGACAATCTGATCACTACTATAGCGGGGACATCTTGATGGTACGAGACGACGAACCCTCGGAGGGAATCGAGAATCTGACTCGTACCTCCAAGGAGAACGTTTATGAATACCGGGACGCGCCGCCGCTCAGATCCAGGGTCACGCGGCAGAACGAAGCGAAGCTTCAAGAACGATTGACGCAAAACCGGAAGTTCAGCTCAACCCCCTCGCTTAGAAGTAACTCGAACATCTCGTTGAAGGACATGCGTTCCGAAGGATTCGTTACCAGTTCACCAAATGGCCACCCGAAGCTGAACAAAGCGATGAGTCAGTCCTCGTTGCGCAAAAGTAGAACGCAGCTTGTTCAGGGTGTCCCGCAGACAGCTGTATAATATTCTCATCGCGCAACCCTTTACTCATGATACTTTTTATTTTATTTATTTTACACAACGACGCACAAAAAGGAATTTTTCACGCAGAATGACTGAATTAAATGTTAGGGAATTCAGATGAACATCTCGTCCGTCCACGAAAGGATTGTTACGTGTAACGATTCGTATTTGTACATACGTCGATACTTATTTTGTACGTTCTTTTTTATACCGATTTTAGATTTGTAAGGATCAACGTTGTGCCTTGTAGGATATATGAATAGTTTTTTTTTACAAATGAACAACGCACGTTATAATAGTAATATATTTTACATAACGACAGAAGTCACGACAAACATACTTCAACAAAATGCATTTTTTTATATATCTCTTTTATCGTGAAAGGGACATATATATATAATTATATATATAGAAATCATATATTTATACGCGACTACGTTTGTAGTATTATTAGAGAACTTAGTTGTAGTCAAACCGATCTCATTTTCACCGTTGACACAATTTCATCTATATGTTTAAGTTTCAAAAGTCTAGTAATACACGATATCTAATTATAGAGACATAGATTATTTTATTGTGCGAGAGATTAAATATATATATATAATATATTATATATCATATTTAAGCGTCGTTCTGTACGGAAAAGGTTCGAAAGCATTTAATATTAAATCACGATATACCTGCCGCAAATATTGCAATTGTCAAAGAACACTTGATTAAATATATATTTAAGGTTTTTTATATAATTAGAGTATATATTGTTACAAGTAAAGTCTAAATGTTAAAGTAATCTATATCCATTGCGACAATATTCATTATGCACATTTTGTTTATTAAATGTCGCGCGACGAACGTGACTGTAAATGAGATTTCTACTGTTGAATGAAGAAACATGGGACCAAAAAGAACAGATGTAATCATTGACGTGTCCGTATTAAATTTCTTTTCTACAGTTGGAATATTAATTGTAACATTTCGATAGAAACATTCAGAGAAAGGGAAAGAGAGAGTAGATCGCGAAGAGCGAAGCAAATACAATTTCGATCCCCTTCGACTGGAAGTGAAATATCCGGGAACAGCGATATTGTTGTTAAAGTGTCAGGAACGACCTGTACTTTTGGCAGCAGCTGCTGCTCTGTCCAAGTATGGCAGTAAATCTAAAGAGAATCTGGAAGTCTTGTTCGATCTTGAGATCGTGGAAAGTGTGATCCCGTTAATTGAACACGAAGACCTGTTCACGCGAAGGTTTCACTTATTTTTTAATATCGATTTCTAACATTAATTTGAATAAAACTCTTTATCTCTTAACGTACGATCGGCAGATTTGCAGCAAAATTACTGGCAGAAATGATACTCATTCCCAATGTCCGAAACTTTCTGATGGACAGTAGCTACTATATTTGTTACTTCGCCAAAGTTTTCATCTCTGACAAGGATTTGTTCATGCAAGAATTTTCCTCTTCGATATTGGCAGAAATATCAAATGATTTGTTTGGTGCAGCACAATTGTTGAAACAATGCTCAAACATGAACTTCTTGTTCGAAAGAGTTCAGTCGCCTGATCCAGACGTGAAAAAGAACACCTTAGAAATCATGTTTAATTTATTACAAGATCCCATTGGAATAAAAGAGATCATAGAAACAAAGGTGTACTGGGATAAACATTTAACAACTCCCAAGAAATTCCATTAACTTTGAAAGATCTGTTCCAGTAATTAATGTGCTTGTTTTATTCTTACAGAATTTTAATTTGAATCTTATATATGATTTGTACGACTCGCCTTATCCTGATATCCAAAGGCTTGCTCTGAACATAACGCATGATTTAGTCAATAGAAATCAAGATGATCGTATGCAGGAGCTTTTCAGAAGATCCAACGGTCTCCAAACTTTATTAAGATTTCTAGATGTAAGATACAGTTACATGTACTCCTGTAACACTTAGTCGTAGACTTTCCTTAATTTAGAACGATGAGTGGCAAGACCTTCACGCAGAGATACTTAGGATTCTTTGCTTGGCTTCTGATAATTCTGCAACAGTGGAGCTGCTTCACGACATAGGTGGTATCAGGCAGATTTTGAAGTACATAGAAGGCACAGTACACTCAAGACTGTTCATGGAAGCCCTCGATGTAGCTGTTAGACTTACCCATACATCTTTGGGTAGAAGTGTAACATATATTATTTGCTATAGCTTAACAGTACGTAATTACTGCTCTCCGAATTAATACTTGTTTACTCTGTAGGCATTATACACTTACAATATCGTAGATCATTTATTGAGCACATTGGAAGAGAGTGTGCCAGCAAGCATATATGAGATCAGTTGTCATGGAATTGGTATGATGACTTTACACACAGATGCTGTCAAACAACTGACTGAGAGCAATTGTCTGAAGAACATCCTAGGTAATTCAGACATTAAGCTTTTTTATACTCATTCCATTAATCCATGTACACAAACATTACAGACATATTGAAAACAGAAACTTTCAAGTGGCCAATTAAACAAGCAGCAATGTTTGCTTTAAGCCGATTACTTAAATGTGACATAAGAAACTGTCATAACTTCTTGGACATGCAGGGCCAGGTATCTGTACGAACTAGATTTTTAAAACCTTCATGTCAAATGATCAAAATGCTTCAACGATTCTCTAGAATTATCTGATATGGCTGATGAAGCAGTCCGCAGGAAAGGTTCCTATAGAGATTCTAATGGGCGCCGTAGAGTGTCTAACAACAATAGCAAGACACCAGTCTTTACGCAGTACTATCATAAACACAGACACCATGGATGTAGTGTGCGCGTCCTTCGAGGTAATCTTCCCTCTGTTGATTAAGAAATAGGAACTGGAGAAAGGTGCAATTAATACAAGTTAATCAACATATTTTCCAGCTGACCTGTCCAACAATAACCGATTACAAGATCGCCTGCTGCAACGCCCTTCCCATTCTCTGCACGGACAAGACTGGAAGAACCGTTTTCCTGAAAGTCCGTGGGCCGACCAGATTATATAATCTGTTATGCGACGTCAAGTCGATCCCGACAAGGAACGCAGCCGCCCAACTCGTTCAATTGTTATGCGCGGATCCGGTTCTGGCCGATGTTTTCGTGCAGGCCAGATACCTGAATTAGTAAGCGTGCTCCCACAGATCTTGAACACGTCGAATGCCGCACGATTCCATAGCGCAGAGCTGGCCAACATTTTGCATACCATGCGTCAATTTTGTTCACAAACAAGTTCATGTGCGCCGTACCTCTTCGACCTTCTTACATTCACGGTTGGGCTAGGAAAATGGGGATAAGGGTAGGATCTGCTTCTCTTAGAGGAGAAAAAGGAATAAGTCAATCTTGCAATTAAATTAATTAATTTAGAGTTCAAAAGACACTTTTATTGAAGCTTAAAAAAAGAATAAGTAGTAAGGATGTAATGTGCCACTTGTAATCATTCAATCTCATATTTTGGCCACCTCTATCACAGAGCAAAATGCCCAAATTGAAATATAATATTAAATCATTTGATTGAATTGCACTATTATTGCATCTAGCTGAACGTCACCGCATTAGGCAGCTTTATTTATAATATAGAGATCTTTTCAAATAATCATAGTTTAACTATGTGAACTATAGTAATCCAATTCAGTTGGTGGTCACCGGTGACTGTCATGGCATTCGACGTGTCAATATTCAAGGTAGAGAATAATCAATGAAAATAATGACTGGTCAAGCATGCTGAAGAACCGATCCACCGCGAGAGTCGTACCCTCCTGGGACACCTGCATAGACGCGCTCTTCGACTCTCACCTGCCAATCAAGTTTGCTTTCACCGGGCGGCTCTCGTTACACGACATCACCCAAAACGGATTCTACGTTCTACGAAGAAACGTCTGCCCGTAGGACATCGTTCAGCCTTACAACACTTAACGTACCACAGTACTCTGAAAAAGAAGTTTCGACTCAAGGTCATCCATTGTGTGACTATGATGAGACTAGCTTCAACCCTGATCGTACCACGATGTGACTCTCAGTCAGTTATGATGATTAAAATGTTATTGTTTCTGTTTATGGGGCCTGAATTTCAAAAGCCTACAAATACTTGGAAATGCAATATGAAATAATGAAAAAATTCAAGTAAATTCAAATGTGACTCTCAGTCACTTATGAGGATAAAAGGAACGATTAAAATATTGTTTGTTTATTGGGCTTAAATTTCAAAAGCCCAAAAACACTTGGAAATGTGAGAAAGTCAAATCGTGGTCTGATTAGAGTTAATAGTCTTCAAGGATAGTTTCATGAGAAATAACCTTGACATTTTGATAGATTCCTCTAGACTTGAAACGAGTTCAAGTGGTCTGTTCTGTGACAGAAAGTGTTATTATTATTATCGCATTGCTTTTGGTTATCCAATAACTTTAGCTCCTCTCAACTGTAAACAGATTCCCAATATTGGATGATATCTTCCGGTTCAAATGCTGTCCGCTGGAAACGGTTTACGTGGTGAACTGTATACGCCCCCGCAAGTCGGATTCCCTGGACTCGTTGCGTCATTCAGTCTTAAAAGGTACGTTGTTTATTACTCGTGTAGCACGGTGTATCAACATGTCTTTATCTTGCAGAGAATCTGGGCTATACGAGCGAGGTCACTCGTCGGACCGTGTTTCTGTCCGGCCAGCTGGAGGATTTAGTGATGGACTCGAAATTCGGTCGCCTGCAGTGCGACCCCTGTCTGCACGACTACGTGGAGCTGTTCAAGTGCAAGCTCATCGCTGCTGAGTCGAAAGCCGTGTACGTGTTCCCTGATAGAAATGAATGTTAACCCTCTATAGGCCTATGTAACTTTGAAGTCACGTATCAGTATGTGGCATCTTGTTGATTTATTTTATTTTGCACTGAAAGTTACAAAATATATTCGTTTGATGAAATTATTGAAACTATTGAGTACGTTGTACGCACGTAATTCATATTCATATGTGGATATTTATTAATTTTGTACTGCATAGATTTTGTTATAATCATGAACATAAATTCGGCTCATAGAGGGTTAAAACGTTGAACGCCGCACGATGTCAGAGCAAGATACACAGAATGGAAAAGATATAACATTAACCCTTTGCGGACGAAGATTCTTTGAAACGTACAAAACCTTCAACAGGAGCTGAATTATATATAAGTTGCATAATTGATAAAAAAGGAAACTACGTGCTGATCTGCTATTTGAGTAATTGAATCATTCTTTTGTGACTTGGTCTTTCGAATATGAAAATTTCGGAATGCCGACATTCGTCCGCAAAGGAGAACAAAATTCAAATATTAATAATATAATTTTTAATAATTAAAAATTCAAATCATTGAATCATTATTATGGCGCGCTCATCTTGCTCAATGTCGCATTAGGTAGCATTGTAGTATACAAATTGAATGTTTAATTGAATGAGCCATAGTAGTTCGATTTGGTTGAGGTCATTGGTGACCTCCATGGCATCCAACGTGTTAATTTCTAATCAAGACGAACGATGTCACGCTGTTAATACAGAGCGTCCAAGACAAAGTCAGGTTTGACGAACATCAGCTGCGTGGCCGTGCGTGCCCAGATGTTGGCTGAATTCGTGGTGAAGCAAATGTCGGGACCGGATCGACTGGTCAACTGCATCGATCATCAGTTGGAAGTACATTTGAAAGAAATCAAGAAGAGTATAGAGACCAGTGTCGTACCGTTGGGCATGCTGCGCGTTGGTTCCTATCTAGAGAGAGCCTTACTGTTCAAGGTGATAGCGGATAGAGTGCATCTACCTGCTGCTTTGGTGCGTGGAGAGTACGGGAAAGCTTGGATCGAAGTAGCTGTGCCCGAAGTAATACCTTAACAATTCATTTAAATCACTATACAGTTACACAGGGTGCTCTACTCTAACCCTTTGCACTCTTTCACCACCAGATTTACAGTGAAACTATAAAATTTCATATTTAATACGTTGAACGCTACAGGATTTCATAGAGAAAAATACTTAAATAGGAAGAATATAATATTAAATCATTTGACTGAACATATGCTTAAAATCTTTCTCTTTTTCCAATAAATTATCAATGACAAAATGGCCGTATCAACCAGAGTTGTAAAAGAAATCATAGGCCAAAGGGTTAACTGAGTACTATAGCAATCTGATTCAGTTGAGAGTCACCAGGCATTCAACGTGTTAATTACCTGTAACACATCAATTTAAGGAACACTGAAATAAAATAGCTGTTCCCCAATTTACATATTTCTCTTCAAGTTTCACAGAATATCATCTACATCCCATCAGAAAACATTGAAACATTTCCACCGAGTGCAAAGGGTGTCAAATATATATCAGACTAGCCGCATTTAATAGAAACTTGTCGAAATTCCACTGAAGATTAATAAAAAATAACTTCGTAGACAAACGACCCAGCCGAGGAGACTGCGTACCAGCGTTACATAAAGGGGAACCCCTCGTGTCCAGAGTTCCTAACGTTACAATCATTCACGTACAAGAGAACCCCGGACGAGCACGCAGCGTCCATCGACCACCGTCAAACGGTGTTCCCGTCGAAGCTGCTCAAGCCGAACTTCATCGTTGACCTGATACATTTTCCCGGCGACCTGATCCCGATAAGCAGCCGGCGCGCTCAGTTGTACCGCGAGCAGGAGTCTCCATGTGAACGGGTGTGCCGCGACTGACGCGTCATCTGGTTCCTGCGACGCAACGTTTATTTCTGGTTCCGGCCACTACAAAATCGTTTACCAAAACTCTCACTCCCGCGAGCTCTCATCGCGGAGGACCAAGCGCGTTGTAAAATTACCCGGCGTGGGAATACAAAAGAATTATTTACACTGATGGCACTGTCTGGGAACTCTGATTTGCAGACGTCGCAATAAATTACACTCGAGCCACTCGGCGGCTGATTCGACAAAAACGGTCCAGCTGGATCGGCGGCGCGTTACTGGGACGAGTAGCGTTTCGACAGGGTTTTTATATCCCCGAGCCTGACCACTCCAAAGAAGCTGTCGATGGCCTCGAGCACGGCGCCGCGCGGCGACTCGCCGGTCTCCTTCAGGGCTAAGGAGTCGTTCTGCTTGAGAGGCGTCACTTGAGCGGAGAAGCAGGTCTGGTCGATCTTCTGGCCCGACTTCGACACCTAAAAACCATCATATGCGTCATTCCCATGAAGAATGACTCTGTTGCTGAAGAACAGATTCACCCACCGTGCACTTCAAGATGATGCGGTCGTTGACTTCTAGATTGAAGCCTGCCTCGTGAACCGTGTCCACGTAGTGGATCTGCGCGTAGACCAGGTACAGTCCGTCGTGGTTGATTATCAGGCTGCCGTCGTTCTGCATGGTGAAGTGCTGCCCCATGAGCTCGTCCACCCACTCGGTGGCTCGCCACGCGGTGAATATCCTGTCCCTGTGACAGTGGCCAGTGTCAGAGGTGTTGCAGTGCCTCCCGCACCTGTGGTTGCACTCGCTGACGCCCGGCAGCTCCCTGTCGGCGCTATAATGCGCGGCGTAGATCCGCTTGGACACCGGTAGGTTCTTCTTCAGCCGGCGAGCGGACTTCTTCGGCTGACGATGCTCCCCGTGGACGTTCGGCTCGCTTACTTCAAGCGATGGGACGCTACCGGTGTCCAGGGTGTGGTGAGTGTACTTTTTAGGTGGGTGTCTGCCTCTGACTTCGACGGATCTGGAAGAGGACAGAAGTTAGTTGCTTGTTTGTAGGACATTGGTATGCGAAGGCTTAGTGTACTGGTATGCCTTGGTATACTAAGGCTTAGTATACTAGTGTACATTAGTATACCTTAGTACACTAAGGCTTAGTACACTGAGGCTTAGTATACTAGTATACATTAGTATACCTTAGTACACTAAGGCTTAGTATAGTGAGGCTTGGTATACTATTATACATTAGTATACCTTAGTACACTGAGGCTTAGCATACTGGGCCTTAGCATACTAGTATACCTTAGTACACTGAGGCTTAGCATCTAGTGTGTCTTAGTACACTGAGGCTTAGCATCTAGTGTGTCTTAGTACACTGAAGCTTAGCATACTAGTATGCCTTAGTACACTGAGGCTTAGCATACCAAGGCTTCGCAACACATGGGAAATACAAAGTAGTTACTACGTTCACAAGACAAGGCAACAAGTACTTCATAACCTATACACAGCAACGAAGCCAGCAAACTCACGTGTCCTGTCTGTCCGCAGCTGACCTGTCTTTCAAACTGTCATCAGGGCTAGTCGGCATCGTCCTCCTGGTATGGTCTTGGTACTCGTCCTTCAGCACCAGCCTCCTAGAATGGACCTCATGGTCGCCAATGGACCGTTTCTTCAGCGAGCCTCTCCGTTCTGCTGAGTCCTCGCTTCTGCTACCTGGAGCATGCCTCTTCTGCTTGGTGGTGTTCTTCAGCTTCTCTTCAAGAGTCTTCCTCTCGTCCTCCGCGCGATGATCCTTGTCATTCTTGTGGCTACCGTCCCTGTCATTCTTCTTCGACGCTTGGCCGTGTTTGACCTCGGCCTTGCGCAGAGAGGGCGCCGATAGGAGGTCCATCATGGCTTTGTCAGCGCTTGGCGGAGACGGCGGGGATGGAACTGGCGCGATGGTCGACGAGTAGTCCGGGAAATCGGAGGGTCTGGCGCCGTAAGACGGAGCAGGGGATGCGTAGTAGTTGGAGTAGTCGTGAGAGAAGTTGTCGTCGTAGGCAGAGTCGTAGTCGGCGTTGTCGATGTCCGCCTCTCCGGCATCGTCGTCCTCGTCACGCGACCCTCCGGTGTATAGCTGCGCAATAATGGAAATAGACGTTTGAATAATATGGTTGTTTATTGTCTGATGATCTGAAATACTGAAATAATGAACTACTTTATGGTAAAGTTAAAGTTATGTTATGTTAGAGTTTAAAGTTTGAAGTGTTAAAGTATGAACTATATATATATACATATATAGTTACATATATAGTTATAGTTATATAGTTCTTATATAGTTCCTATGTATGTTTATATATATATGAAATACTTCTGTAAATAATCCCCTATTTAGTTGTAATAGTCTCAAACACTTAACACTTAGGCGACCACCTACAAAGAACTGTAACTACAACATCCTCCATTATCTTCACTTGAACTCATTCAATGAACTTTGAAGAAGTCTGTTTTGTACAAACAAGGACCTTAATTAATGAATTTCAAATAATCCCATTTTAAAACAATGATCCTAAACAAACAGGGATTTGAAGAACATTTTATTACACAGAATTACTTCTGTAAATAGTCTCAAACACTTAACACTTGGGTGACCACTTAAAAAGGACAGTAACTACAACATCCTCCATTATCTTCCATTGAACTCATTCAATGAGTTTTGAAGAAGTCTATTTTGTAAACAAGAACCTTATTTGAGGAATTTCAAATAATCCTATGTTAAAACAATGATCCTAAACAAACAGGGATTTGAAGAACATTTTATTATACAGAATTACTTCTGTAAATAGTCCCCTACTTAGTCCTAAATAGTCTCAAACACTTAACTCTTAAAACTTCTGGAGTACAAAGGATGAACTTTGAGGTTCATGACACCTCTATTTATTTACTCAAGAATATTTGGCAGTCATTGAAACGTTACCTTTAAATGGTACAATTGTGATACCACAAATAAATATAGAAAAAATTCTTAAAACAAATAGAAGTTGCAATAAAATAGAATGTCGAGTCTGACTCGAAACTACTAAGGATTAAGAATCCCGGGGATTCCTGCGACTGTTCCTGTTACGTTCATGAATCGACCGGGACGCGTCCCTCCAGCGACAGATCCGATTCCAAAGCAGTGAATCGGTGGCGAAACACGTGCTCCCTGATCGCTTTATCTCCGACCTCTCGTCTCGCGCGCCCCACACTTGATAACCCGGTTTCCAGCGATGTTATTCGAGATGCGCGTCAACGCGTGTAATTAATATCGGTATCCGAGATCGCTTTACTTCGATCTAACGACCGCCGTCGATTCCTCGACGGTTTTCCTGGTACCCAGGCCTGAATCAATGAATAATCATCGACTTATCGGCACGAGTAAACAAGCGGACAGCGAGAACTGATCGATCAGCGCTTCATTCTAATCGGCGGAGTTACGATTTTTTTACTATAGTGAAATGTCGAAACGAGGACATCAGTTCCGATTCCTGCGTTATCTCTGCAGCGTCCTTATCTGTCGGTTTTTCAGAACACAGCTGGAGGAACACCGGGATCAACATTCCTCCAGATTAATCTCTTCGATGACCTATATGTGATGATTCGAATCTCTACTTAATTATGCAATTCACTGATATATTACGTAATGATGAGCCTGTTAATACTAGAACTACCGATCACTTGGAGTATTAAGCCATTAATAATTATTTTCAATATCATTTACCTTTGTTATTAAAGAACAAGTATTACTAATCAAGTATCTATACCTTTCCAGTAATTGTAACAGAGATCAGAAATAAGTCATTTCAACTGATCCGGTAGTCCCAGTGTTAAACATTGTCCGCCGAACAATATACTCCTGTCAGTCACCATGAACCTCACCTGTCCCTCGAAAGCTTTCAGCGCGTCCCAGAGATTCTCCTCGAGGATCCGGTGCTTGAGGCTCTCCACGTCCCGCTTCAGCTCCTCGATCTCCCTCGCGTTCACCGCTGAGCACCGAAGCTTCCAGGTCTCCAGGCCGAGACAGAGGACAGCGACGACCAACGCGATCACGCTCAGCACAGTGTTCCTATGCGGCCTTGAGCATTGTTTGTTCAAGCCCTGCTCGAGCTCCGACTGCGAGATGCTCAGGTTCTCCCTGGAGAAGCTCAGGAACGAGCGGCTCTCCTCCTTACCGCGGACGTCGTTCTTCAGCTTCTGCTTCAGCTTGGCGACCTTCGTCTCCACTTCCGGTAACACGGAGGTCATCCTGCCGACAGCTAGAGGCAACCAATTCCAGACTCAACCTCCAACTACCTTCCAGTTGCCACAGGTGCCCGGGTCTGTTCTGACCCAGGTTTGCAGAAACGCTTCCAAGCTTCCACCGGTGCAGCTAATTCAAGCTCACAGTTATGGCCAACAGCTAGACGTAACAAATTCCAGACTCAACTTCCAACCGCCTTCCAAATCAGTGCCCGGGTCCGTCCTGACCCAGGCTGTAGAGACGCTTTCCAGCTTCCACCGGTGCGGCTAATTTAAGCTCACGGTTCACGTCACGTCCCTTGCACGCTTCTGAGAGGCCGTGGGGCGATTAAACGGACCCATGCACGAGTTTCGCGCGTGCGGCCACGGAAAGCGCGCATACAGCGTCCAAGGGCCGAGTCCCGAGCGGGCTTCTTCTTTTTCTGCGCGCGTTTCCAGCCGCGGCGGCTATTTAAAGACGCACCGGGAACTTTCCGCTGGTATGAATGGCTCGCTTGTACCGGCGGTGTCCGCGGCAGAGACGCACGGCTACCGGACTCCCGTCAACTGGCGCGTCGACGTCTCCGCGCGGAGCGGTCCGGCGATGTCATCCAACGCTCCCGCGTCTCTCTCCTCGTCGGCGGCCAGCGGCCCGCCGCGACGGCACAATCACTGAAAGCGCCGCGATAACGAGCTCGGCATGCTCGCGCTTTCTCCTCCGCCGGGTTCACTGCCATGAAACGGGCGCCGACATGGTCCAGCCCGGACGCTGAGAGTATCGACGGCTCCGCGGGAGGGTACAGGGACTAGCCGTACCGAGCGAGCGCGCGTCCGTGCGAGGTTGTAGCTTCCCGGCCGGGGAATCAAGACGTTAAACGTCCTGCGTCCTGGACGTGGCTCTCTTTAAAACCTGTCCGGTGGGTTTTCTCATCGCGGGCTACCACCGCCGGCGAGGATGTCGAAAATTCGACCCTTTCGCCCTCCGCCCCTTCGGACCCCGCGGCCTATAACCCTTCCACGCCTTTGTCTCCGGCAGTCTGCTTGCCGTGGCGCAGTTCCTTTCACCCAGTGCTTCTACCGACTTTATTATTCGGGTTTCTGCCTTGTCTCTTTTTCAGTGAAATATGAGTGGATGTTGTCGATGATAGAAATTTTTATAGGTGTCTATTTTTCTACTTTGTCTCCAGCTACAGTCCGCTTGCCATATCTCAAAGTTCCTTTCATCCAGTGTTGCTACCTCTGGACTTTCTTATTCAGTTTTCTTCTGCCTTCTCTTTTTCAGTGAACTATCACTAGATGGATGTTCCAATAGAAATTTGTATAGGTGTCTATTTTTCTACTGTCTTCAGCTGCAGTCTGCTTGCCATATCTCAAAGTTCCTTTCATCCAGTGTTGCTACCTCTTGACTTTTTTTCGGTTTTCTTCTGCCTCCTCTCTTCAGTGAACTATCACCGGATGGATGTTGCAATAGAAATGTTTATAGGTTAACCCGGCGAAGCTAGAAAGAGATAAACACGCGTTTAGCGAAACGGAAGGTGCAGATGGATAGAACGAGAAGCATGCTTTCGAGAACTTATCGGCGCAGTTAATTTTAGGAAACCGTGCGCTTCGTGCACGCGCGGCGAAGCGATTGTGCTGGTTGTATTACCACGTGGGCCGTCGCGAACCGAAGGATCCGAAATATTATCCCGACGCGCAGAGCCTGCAAGCTCGAGAGAGCGGCCAAGAAAAAAGCGACCAACTTGCCCGAAAGACTCGAGCGCACTGAGTCAGACGTATGGAACACGTTCGAGTTTATTGCTGCAGCTCCTTCGCCCGTGGGCCTGGGTGGCGTAGATCAGTGATCCATCGAGCAGCTTCCCCTCTCTCTCTCACGCTCTTCGTCTCTCGGATGCTTAACCGGTACGATATCCCACATCCATCAACGCTGCTCGCAGTTTCGATGGAATCCTTCCTACGCAACCCACATCTCAACGTCAATGCCATATCGGTACCGGTTAGTCGGATATAATAGATAATGTCAACAACCTTTTCTCCATGCTTCATTCTTGAGATCTGCGCAATTTAAATAGGGGTTAAGTTGACTCTGCACTCGGATGACTCTGTCACCATTGGACTGGACATTGGAAAAACTATAAAGTGGAATATTTAATATTTTAGATTAAATCTTGCATTGATATGTGAAATAGTTAAATAAAACACCTCTGTTGCTTAACCCTTTTAGTGCCAGAGCCGAATAAAATATACTTTTCTTTTCTAAAATGCCATTATTATTATTTCTTTCGTTAAGTTATGTGAAATAAATAAATATTTCTAAAATTTCTATCAGCTTTTCTCTTCAGTATTTTTTCTCTTGTACCGACAGACTCCATTTACGCGATTTTCGTTCGCGTAAAACGAACCCACGTGCAACGATTTCCCGCGTAAATCGAGGATTAGGCGTACTCGAATAAAATAGCTTTGTTTATCAACGTACTTGTGATTTCCTTCGAGTTATCTTGAACCAATATCGTCTTCGTCTGTTAAAAAAATCTGAAATATTTCCAATAGGAAACTTTCGAGTGCAAACGGTTAACACGTTGACTGCCACAGAAAACTTCAGCCTTTTATGTGTCATTTTTTCTTTTATGACGAAGATAAAAAAAATGATTATCAATTATTTGCTACTACGATTATAAAGTTACATTGTTATCTATTTATTTACGCTGTTGAACATTTTTCTTGGATGCCAGTTATCTCACGAGGTATAATTGTTTTCAAGTCATTTGGAAGCTCCGGTCATTAGTGACCACTGTGACAGTCAACGTATTAACGGATCACGTGACCTGAAATAAGGAACAATTCCTTTTCGTAAAACATTTCCAGTAAAAAACTTCCGAGTGCAAAAAAATTTAAATATTTCCAGTAAAAAATTTCCGAACGTAAAAAAGTCTGAAATATTTTCAGTAAAAAACTTCCGAGTGCAAAAAAATATAAATATTTCCAGTAACAAACTTCCGAGTGCAAACGGTTAAAGGACCACGTGACCTGTAATAAGGAAAAATTTCTCTTCGTAAAAGTGGCTGTAATCGGATTCGATCGGCCACGCGATTTGCATTTTCCAGCAGAGTTAATTGGACACGAGCTTAATACGTACATACTTGCGAACAGAGAGTGTAATTTTTATTTCGTGCATACGTGACAAAGACGTTCGAACGCCCACTATCGGCCGTATTTGCCGCGGAGCGCACGCCTGTTCCAGGAAAGGCTGCAACGACACGGAATTCTATCATGAACGCTGCCGACGGTCCGGGAAACATCTCCGATTCCGAATTCTTTCGGGCCGCAGCGAATTTGATACACGACTCGCTCCTGGAACTGTTGCGGCCGTGAGAACGCCCCGACGGATTCCTCCGAGAAGCGTGACCGAATCTTCGCTTCCGTGAAGGTTATCTCGAGAGGAAGTTATCGATAGATCGCAGCTTCATTTTCGGGATCGCTTCGTAGTACGATTATTGCTCTGGATCAGTGTTTCCCAACGATTTTTTGTGGCATGTCGTATTTAAGTATTTTTTAAATTTTTGTGACTCCATATGTAATATGTATGTAATTTTTAATATTATATTGTAATATTTTTGCTATTTTAGGTAGAATACTGTAGATTTTCACAAAATACTGTGTAATATACGCAATGATATTTCAAATTTTAAATTGCCCCCCTTAAAACTCAAATTGCCCCCCATGGAGAGTCGACCCCACGTTGGGAAGCACTGGTCTAGATCGATAATAGAAAGAACCGGTAAAGAGTCGATTTTCTGTAATAATTAGCGCGAAGTTCATCAAATATTTTCGTACTACCGATCGTTATCTCATGATACACATATAACAAAACATGATTGGAATTCCCTTTTCCATAAGTATACATAAATTTATGTCTCCACGTTTTGTAAAATATTTATAATGCTTCTAAGTATCGGTAAGTATTTTTAGATGCGGAAACCAACTTCAGGTCGCGAACAACAGCTTCAGAAATGATAGTTTAGCATTCCTCTAGAGTCTACGCTCTGGCAACGTGTCGTCCTGATCTTTATTACGCTTTCAGGGTGCTTACAATAGCGAAACGTAACGGTTCAATCAAATTATTACGAAGTGTCGTACAACAAGCTGAAGAGGAACCGTTGCTGATAATCTAACCTTAAAATGTTATGCATCCTGGATGAATGAAATGGAAAAAAAATGGAAAAAAAAATGATTTGCGTGTTTGATATGTCTATATGCAAACAGAGGTTGTATAATTGTCGTATGTCTTTATTTATTTATATTTGAATTTATATTGTTATGTTATTCATCCTGGATGAATGAAATTGAAAAAAAAATAGGAAAAAAAAATGATTTGCATATTTGATATATGTACATGCAAACAGAGGTAGTATAATCATCGTATCTTTATTTATTTATATTTGTATTTGTATGATAATTATTATATTCTTGGTATTTTCCGTAGTTGAGATTAATCGGGATTATTAGTTCGTCGAAATAGTTTGCGAACGTTGACTGTGTAATCTTTCGCAAGACGTTATCAGGAATTCCGCAATTACAATCGTAATTAGTCACCGCACGACGATCGCGACACACGTGCTTTGAACCGTGCAATTGACACGCCTTGCGTAGGAAGACGAAAATTTCTGATCTGGATCAATTTACTGGCTCAACGAGTGGGAGCTCGCTGGCAATTACCTCGCCCGTTCTTTCTCCGTATTTCGTTCGTTCCGCCCGCTTATTCCTTCGACGGCTTTCCTGCGTTCGACGTACCAGGCGAGCAAATCTAAAGACCGCTTGTAGGTAACGATTTCCGTTGAGTTTGGGAATCCTTGGAAGAACCCTTAGATACTTATAGAATAGATTTGACCTTCTAATGATTAGTTTCTTAATTGGGATAATAAAGATAGTTTGTTGTTTATAATTCATTATAAAAGAGGACAATTGAATATTCATTCTGTGTCCATGTTTACTTGGAATTATTGCAATTAATAATAAGAGAATAACATTTAATAGAAGCTTTGACCTTCTGTCCTATGATTAATTTCTCAATTGAGTTCAATAAACATATTTTATTGTTTATGATTAACTATAAATAGAGGACAATTATAACTCATTCTATGTCCATGTTTACTCAGAATTATGGCATTTAATGATAAGAAAATACTATTTAATTGAAGATTTCACCTCTTGTTCTATTATTAGTTTCTCAATTGGTTTTGATAAAGATATTTTATTGTTTATAATTCACTATAAATAGAAGACACTTATATACTCATTCTATGTCCATGTTTATTCAGAAATTTTTAAATTAATAATAAGAAAGTAATATTTATTAAATTCTATTTAAAATCTTCACCGGCAGCCTAACACGACATTGTAGAACAAGGAGATATGTTAAAGACGATTTCTTCATTTCAGATACGAAGTTAACCGCAATACACGTAAATAGCTCTCAACGTTGAAGGATGAACGATATCCAACTTCCGGCGACGCATCGCGTTACACATACGCTAACCAGTGCAATTGTTTTCTTCCGTGTGCAAATGATTATTACAACTGGCTGTACTTTGACCTCTTGCCTTATGATTTCTTTTGCAACAATTATTTAGTTATCAATCACTCAGCAGGTATAAAAAAGAATTTCATATTATTCTACGCCCATGTTCATTTTAAAATATAATAATTGATAACAAAACAATAGTATCTCATTCCAATTTATCTTTATCAATTCCCATTTCAGATCTTTCTCACGAGTCTCGTATTGTTTAGCAAGGGTTTAAATAATTACCACCCTGCTAATGAGATAAGGAAGAAAGATTTGTAGATACGCAATACGTGGTATCACGAATTAATTATCAATCACTCATCAGTTACAGAGAAGAATTTCATGTTTATTTATCTTTGTTAATTTTCGTTTCAGATCTTTCTCACGAGTCTCGTATTGTTCAGCAAGGGGTTAAACAACCGCCACCCCAATAAGATAAGAAGGAAGAAGGATTTGTAGATGCGCGACACGTGGTATCACGAATGCAGAGACATCGAACGATGCGCCGCCGAATCGATGAGCACGGAAACTTTTGCGGCTAAATATAGCGATGAAATTGACCGAAGGTTACAGAGAAGACGGCCTGCTTAGGGGACCGTTCCATGCTGCCCGTTCTCGGTTTTCATCCCGCCATTTACATTCCATTCGAGTAAATGGAATCGCAGTTATTAGCACCTGGTTCTATGGAACATGAAAATGAACGAGTTACGAATAGCGAGTCAGCGTGCCACGGCATGCGACAGGGCATTCGACAATGGCAACCCGATCCTCGGACAGAAACCATTACTGGAAAATCAAGTGTAGCGTTCTGGGAAGCAGCCGTGCGAGCAAGCCTAAAAACACGAAACTGTTAAGCGTGTAAATATGTAACCGGTCGGGCACGCTGCCGACCCGAGTCCGCTTCAAGAAGGCATTGCATTTGTCGGGACGAATTGAACGTACCGTATCGGTGGGACAATGTTCCTTTAGAAGTCTGAGGATTCGTTGTCTGGAATGTTTATTTAACTCGGTGCTTTTCATTTTTTTCTGTGGCACGCCTCAACTAAGCTTTTCTAGAATTATTATGCCCCCTGTGTAACATATATATATATATATATATATAGTTATATGTATAATATATGTATATGATTACATAAATTATATAATATATATATTATAATATTATAATATTTTTCTAATATTTATTACAATATTCTTGCTATTTCGTTTACGTGCGTAAATACTGTGAAATATTCAAATTTCAAACTGCCCCCTTAAAAACATAAACAAACCCTTTGCGCTCAGTGTCTTCACAAGTTATCCACTAGAAACCTTGAACACTTCCTGTCGAGATAAAGACGATATTTTTGTGAAACTATCTCGCCAATCACACGTGCATCGAGGAACAATGTTATCTCAATATCTCTGATTGACGGATTAGTGTAAAGGGTTAATTACCAATGGCTTGCTATGAAATTTCCTGAGTTACACTATTATTTACTTACTTATTTATCGAATAATTTAATTCAACGTTAGTTTCCCTAGTGCCATTGTTTTCAAGAATTTTGGAAGCACCTGCGATCACCGTAAATTTCGACCACCGTAACGGTCAACGTGTCCCAATCCTCTAACGTACAACCGGGAGGATCCAGGTCAATTTTACGTAACGCAAGGATCAGAGACGGCTCGGGAAACGAGTTTCGAACGGGGATCCAAGGACCGAAAAGATTCCCGTTGCTCCGGGATATTCGATCTCAACGTTCCCGGTAAATCCAATGGATTCCCCGAGTAAGTAGGCACTGTTATCTTATCACCCTGGTCATCTGCTACGTCTTCCCTTGCGAATAGAAAGACTCCGTGCAGATAGACGCAGATAACTTATCGTGAAAGTTTATAAACCTTCTTTCACGACAGAAATCATCGAGTTTGCGACAGAAGCGATTCGATTTCCGGACGAGAAGCGTTAACCTGTTGAGTGGGAAGATCTTCAAATACCGATTCTTGCGAGATCATTCAACACCGGGAACAAGGTTTCATTTATTTTATTTTTATTTTTAGGCGTCGTTGGAAGATATAATCATAAATAACCAGATGACTTTTTTTTCAGTTGAGTTCACTGGATTTTGTGAATATTCAAATACCGATCCTTGCAAGATCATTGAACACCGGCAACGAGGTATAATTAAATAAATTTGTGAGCAAACGTTAGAAGATATAAGGATAAATAACCAGATGATTTTTTTTTCAGTTGGGTTCACTGGATTTTGTGAATATTCAAGTATTGATCCCTGAAAGATCATTGAACACCGGCAACGAGGTATAATTAAATAAATTTGTGAGTAGACGTTAGGTGTCATTAGAAGATATAAATAACCAGATGACTTTTTTCAGTTGAATTCACTGGATTTTGTGAATTTTCAAATACCGATCCCTGCAAGATCATCGAACACCGCAACGAGGTTCCATTTATTTCGATATAATTAAATAAATTTCTGAGCAAACTGTCATTAGACATAAACATAAATAACCATACGACATTTTTTCAGTTGAGTTAGTTCCCCGGATTCCCATGGAATTATCGGCAACGTTTTTCCATCCTGCGTGCGACCAGAAGAAGAACCATCGGCCAGCGCGAAGGAGCAAGAGAGGCGGCAATTATAGTTTCTTGTCAGGCGAATGTTGGCAGCGCTCGTAACGAAGAGCCGCCAAACCGGTCGAGTGGACCCGTCGCGTAGACCCGTCGCGAGGCTTCGTAACGCTTGGCCCGCGTATTGCCTTGAGTAAACAAAAGATGGTCCGGAACGACTACATTCGGACCCGTAGAATGTGAGTCTCTACGGCGACGCTGCGAACAGCCGAGAAGACAATCGACCCGTACGTCGGTTCTCCCTTACCTGTTGCTTCACAGCAAGTACTTCCGGTGGAGAACCAAGATATGTCACTCAGGTAAGCAAGATGTTTCACAATTCACAAACACTCTAACTCGTTCGCGAATTCGGGAGATTCCTTTGAGCTGAACACTGAAAAGACTGAAAAACAGAAGGGACTCTGGGTACACTTAGAAACGTGGTTGATGAATCTTTAGAGAATATTGAACAGGTTAAATTCCATGTAAGGCTGAATGGTGTCATTGTCTAAAATTCTTTGCATTCTGTGCACTTTGTCTGAATTTAGAAATATTTAGAAATGTTTAAGTAGAATGTTATTGCGACGATTGGAAAGATTATAATATTGGACACTGTTGTAGGAAATGTTAGGTTTACGAATTCTGTGTATAACCTGCTTGAGTTACTGAACAACGGGACTTTTCATTCATAAATCTTTCAAAACAACTCATTGTTTCTTCTATTTAGTAGTTTATCAATGTTCTCGTATCTCAATGAGTATACTAATCTAAAGACTTCCTCTGTTTAACAATAGAAAGTAGAAATTACTTATTCTTTTTCATAAGTTAGAAATTTCGTTCGATTGATAATTGATATTTTTAATTATGTTTTAGTTATAGTATTATATTTAATTATATTCTAGCTATACTATTGCATTTAATTATATTTCATAATTATATTTTTAACACTAGAACTACCGAGGATTTAACACGATTAATATGCAATTCCTCTAAAAATTGTAACAATAGATTATTTCCAATGTTGTTATTTTTTGATATTTCTTTGTAATAACACAATATTTGTGATCTCATTAGATGCTCTTATTAATTCTTTTTGCATACTCATCACTTCCTCATTTTTGGTAAATATCCACAAAAGTTGTTTAGCATCAAAACGGTTAAGATATCAATAATAGAAACAAAAAAATCGAAACCAGTCATTTCGACTGGTTCTGTTAAATCACAAGCACAGCAACGTTACACTTTATTCAAGATAAGGTGTTACAGTTTTTTGTTTATTACAATGATGCATGTATGCGTGCATTCGCAAACCAGTCAGCGAATTCAAGGGTCATGACGAATCGAGTCTTTATACGCATTTCCCGTTCTCAGCCCGCCTCAGTAAGCCTTCGAGTCTCTCAGGTGTACAACAAATCTTGTTCTTTTATTTTTTACCCAATCTCTGACGCACGTACACGTCAAACGGGACCGTTAGAAAAATCAGTTATCGACTGGTTTATCAACGATCGATAACGTTCTCGTCGTCGATCGTTGATTGTATTTATTTACCGATGGAAATCGACTATGACGAAGGATAACAAAGGAGGACGAATAAAATGGTGAAAGAAATACTGTGTGTTCCAGGGTGTTCGTCGATGTGATATAATTGTTGAAACTGGTCCGGGCAGTTGACCAAGCGGATTCGGATGGACACGAAAATTAAAATGGAACGAGGCCGAGGCGATACCGATCCCCGGACGGGTCAGCTCGAGAAAAGCTCGACGAACTTCATCGAGCTGAACGTCGACATGAACGTGACCGTGTCGAACGTGACGAAATCAAAGATGTTCCAAAGATCGCGCACCGTCGTTCTTTTCCTGCTGGTAATCGCGTTCGCTGTCGTGCTGTCCCACCTGAGGAAAGAAGTGCGCGCCTTGCAAGTGCAGGTAACGTACAGCACACAAAGAAAGTGAATGGGATGAAATTAACTGTTGAATGGAATTAGTATAATTCAATGAATGAAACGATGATTATTTGGAAATATTTTTATATTATAAATAATGCTGCCTGATGTGGTGATAGTCAGCTAGATGGACGTGCAATAATAATAATGGTATTCAATCGAATGTCTCAATATTTCATTCTTATTCATTTTTTCCATTTTTTCCGTTTAGTGTATTTTGTTGTGAAATAGCGCGGCATTCAACGTGTTTACCTCTTGGCCTATGATTTCTTTCTCAGCTTTGATACTCTTTTTACGCGGTAAATTGGAACCCTATCTAGTTTTTACGCGATCTGAATTTAGTAGCAGTGAATAAAATATACTTTTGTTTTCTACCATGTCATTATTATTATTTCTTTCGTTAGTCTATATAAAATAAATATGAATTTCTAAAATTTATACCAGCTTTTCTCTTGGATACTTCGTTTTCTCTTATACCGACGGGCTCCATTTACACGATTCTCGTTCGCGTAAAACGAACCCACGTGGAACGGATTCCCGCGTGAATTGAGGGTCACTTCCGTTACAACTGAACAGCGAATTCCCAATCACTTATTGTTTTTAATCTATTAAGGCTCCAATATTACACCAATTATAATATTAAATATTTCAATAAGTCTTAAAGAAACCACCCTAAAATTATTCGATTTTTCACACATTCAAATTTTGCACTAAGAAAGACAATAAAAGATCTAAGACATGTTATAGCATTTCTCATTTTCGCTAGGAACGCTATAAAAATTAGTTGCAGTTGCTGATAGATTACAAAACAATCTGGGGAGCTAAGGGTTAAAACGATTGAAACAGTAAATAAAATTCCATTTCCCAGCTCGTGAAATGTTCATCAAAATCCACCTCGCGTGACAAGTTACCATTTATTGTAAATAAATATTTTTTCAGATGCAGTCCATGAACGTGAACCTGCTGGTACTGATGTCCAAGTACGACAGATTGAACAGAAGTTTGAACCGAGCGTGGACCCACCGGTCCGACAGATTCCTCGAGTATGGAAGCATACACGACGTTAAACGGCTCCTCGACAGCGCCTCGACGATCTCCAGAGCCATCGAAATATTCGATGGTATCCATAACGGAGCCAACAGTACCTCTTACGGTTACGACGGGCTAATCCGATACTCGAATTTCGCGAAAAGCTCGGAGAACGAACACCCGTTACACGAGAATGGTACGAGCAACGAGAGTGAAACAATGAATCGAAATTCGTTAATGAACCTGGAGAATGACGAGATAAATTCACGCATTGAAAGAGCGGCGCTAACGGTAAACAAAGGGAACTTGTCGAAAAGGCAAATAGATTTGAGTGGCGTCGCCACGACCGGTTGCAACAACAGTACTGACGATGACTATGACAATGACGATTTCGTTGTAAGGAGAGAGCCTCGTTCCGGAAGGTCTCGGCGAGACGAGGGAAGAGGTAAAAAACGGGGAAAGAACAAAAGGCGGCCCAAGCGCAGTCGCAGGCGATTGGGTATCTAGTATTATTTAGTTAGCATGTATTCCCTCCGTTACACGTTTTCCATTTTTGGCAATCCATCTTTCATGTCGCTTTTCCAATTGTTCTCTAGAACCTAAATTATTGTTGGCTAAGCATTGTAGGCATGTGTCTAAACCAGTAGGAATGTCTGTACATGTTTCTGGACAGTATCAGATTTCATGTAATTGCGTTTGATTATCTTAATTTTTAAGAGTAAGCTTAATAACAAGAAATAACGGCACAGTGCAGAGAATTGTCCATTATAGAATTGCCTCTTTCATTGTTCTTTAGTATTACTACATTATGACACAATCGATAGGTTAAGTTTCAAATACTATTTCTTTTTTGTTATTCAGGACCATTGGTGGCAACATTTGTTGGTGCAATCCCTGAGCAGCACGTTACGGATACAGGTATATACATGCAGAATATACTGTTTAAGTTAGTAATGTATGTTTCACTGGTGTAATTGCTTTCTTTAGTTTATATCGGTCCCTGGGTGAAAAGTAGCAAGAACAATACTTTGTATAGTTTGAACAAATTCCATTTAGTTGAGGACAAGAAGTCTATAGAAGTTACTGCCACTGGTCTGTACATGATCTCTGCTCAGGTATGTAAACATATTTGTTTATACTTTTATCTAAATTGAATTACGTAATGTATATGAATCACACTTGTATATTTGCGAATCTTCACTTTTTTATAGATATTTTATTTCGGTGAACCAACAAATTATTCGTATTGGATACTACTGAGTTCAGAGGGTGAATCCACAACGAAGAAGCTGGTAAAGTGTTCTACAGCATCTTCCACGTCAGCCACAGAAGTTTCGTGTTATACAAGTGTCATTACACCCTTACAGAGGGGTGATAGGGTTCACATACAACAACAAGAGAAAAACAGGTAAGAGGTGAACATTGTTTCTCTTAACCCTCTGTAGGCTCACGTAACTTTGAAGTCACGTATCAGTATATTAGCATCTTGTTGGTTTACTTTATTTTGCACTGAAAGTGGTGAATAAAATTAAGTAATCAGTTAACTTCAACTTTTATATGCTCATGCATGAAACTTGAAAGTTACAAAATACATTCGTTTGATGAAATTATTGAAACTATTTAATTCATTCTTAATTCGTACTCATATGTGGATATTTATGAATTTTCTACTGCACAGATTTTTATATTTTTCAGATTAATAAATATGCGAGAGGGACACAGTTATATACAACTTGTACTTTTGTCCGATAACATTCGCAGACAACGTCTGCGGTAGAGCGACACATAGTACAAATTTATGAAAGACATTGTGCCATGAACAATCGCAGAGGGATGGTTCCTAATTGCGATCCCGTACCCCACTTGGAAATGTTAGATGCATTTATTTTTAGTTATAAGCTTAACGATAAAGTGATTCAAAGAACCATCATTCGCATGTAGGCGTACAATTATTTTTTTCAACTTTTTTTTTAGACTAAGTATACATTCTATGTACAGTTTCGTTGAGATTGCATAACAGATGAGGAGTGTACAAAGGAACAATGTTGGATTGTAAATAATTTAGACGGGTATTTAACATTGTATCAATGAAACCACGATTCCGCGAGGAACCAATGGAATTTGCAATAACATTAGACCTTTGTACGTTTAGTATTTTAATTTTAAACTAAACTTGAATATGTGATGATTAGTTTTAAGGAGAGTCAGTAAGATTAATGCAAGTTATTGCGTTTTTATACCTTTTACTTTGTACATTGTTTGCATTGTTTACAACATTTATTACGTCTAGTGTTAAAACGAAGATAAAATATAAATAAGAAAAAAAAACAAAGAAACTTCACGGACTTTATGAATTCGAACGTCTGAAAACCTGTACGCTTATCTGTATAAGTTCTACTATTCGTTTTAAAAGAAAAGTACGTTCTCTTATAGATTGTACCGCGGTCGATACTGAACTGGTTTTCTAAAATTAGTCTTTTTAAATACGAAGTACAACTAGAGTACCTTTTGACAACATTTTCCTTGGAAATGCAAAGGACACTTGACTCCTCTTGAAAAGCAACGTCGATGCCAGTCATGTGGCAGATGCTGCTCAGCTCAAACTTAGGTAGTGCCACCGTGCATGACAGTACAGATGTTATCAACCTAGAGAAATGAATAACAGAGAGTTAGAGAAAAAAAAAGAGTAACAAATAACAGGAGCAACAAGATCTTACGGATACTTTATACCTATTGTCTAATATGTTCGCTTATAAACAATACTTGAATCACACGTTATATACTTTTGTTCGTTATTTCTTAAATTTCTTTTCGTAGATGTTCAGTATATATTTCCTTCCCTATTTTTCTTATTGTCCTGGCAACAAGTTCACGATTGCTTTTGCGAAACAACGTTTTCTTAAGAAAATTCCAAATGGTATCTCTTTCAATGATTTCTTCATTGTTACCGTTGCGGTATACAATACTGCAGGTATCGCGCGTATAAAGCGGTTCAGTTTCAACGAAGGGATGCTCTCTCGTTCATTGCATTCGTTAATGAAAAATATCACGAAAATTCGACTAAGTCCCTACTAGAGTAATATCGCATCACAATCCCTGTCTACGCATGTATATATATATATAAATGACTCCACTTTACACTCGATAGATGCAGATTTATGTAGCACTTATCTTTGCTAACATTTGCTTTGCTATAAGTTGATAGGTTGTTGTTTTATTAAGAAACGGATAGATTTATATTTACTCACCTG